GTGGCCTGGCCCAGGTGGCGGGCACACACTTTCGGCCATCCTCTGGGTTGATCCAGGCTGAGTCCACCAGCAGGTGTCCTTGGCCACGATTCGGTTTGCCGGGACTCCTCCAGGCTTTTGACAAGCCATCATAGCTTGGGCAGAGGTACTTCTTGGCGGCCTTGATGACGTTCTCCGTCGCCTGAACCGCCTGCGACATCTTCGCCAGAATCTCACTGGACGGGTGGCCCAGGTTCTTGGGCAGCCTCTTGACGTTTGAAAGCCTGAGGACCAACCTCCGCTCCCAGTCTCCGGTTCTTCTCAACCTTCTGCTTATCGCTTTGTTCTTGATCTCCCTGATCGCCGCCTTCGGGCTCTTCCCGTAGTCATCCGGCACCTTCAGCTCAGAGCCGCACTGGTCCAGTCGGCGAAAGCCTTCGTTGACCAGGCTCCGTCCGGCTTCTCTGGCGTTGTGGTACTGGTTCAACTTTATCACAAACCTCAGCACCCGGTCATCGTTCTCCTTCCGCAGCTCCACCAAGCATTGCCGATGCTTATCAGATCGGCTCGCAGTCAGCTCTTGCATCTGACTCCAGAGCTTGCACATTGAAGCCATCAAGATCTCGTCCGGCTCTTCCTTCTTGAGCAGCTCCATGAACTTCTTCTGGCACTCTGCCTCCGTTCTGATCCGAAAAGACACGGAACTTCACGTTCTCCATGCGGTTGAGGAACTTGCTCGGGTCTTCCTTTCTCGCACTTCTTGGCCTCCTGCAAAATGTGGTTTCTCTTTGCAACGGCGCCCTTGGCGTCTCGCACCGTCTTCTTCAGCATCGGGGCTGTGAGCTTTCTCGCTCTTCCACTCGAACTCTCGTCCATGCAGCCCGACCGACACGAACCTCACCTTCGCGGTGTCCTTGACTGGTCTTCTCGATGCCGGCATCAGGAATCTCTCCTTCCTGGCACTGGTCTCGACCTCCAAGATCGACTTCCCCCGAAATCTCGCTCATCAGATCATTCACCATGTAAGCATTCTCGTTCTCGACCCAAGGAACGACGCCGCACCACCACCCTGAACAGCCACATCTTCGGCATCCGAGTCTTCCTTGTCCAAGGAGATCTCCGTCTTGTTATCCTCATCGACGTCCGTCTCGTTCACCATGTTGATGTCATCTCCATCTTCCTGTCGCTTCCGCGTCTCGCCGCCATCCGAGCCCAGTGACCTGCTTGTCCACAGCTGCCTTCCCGTAGCGACTGCACCCTGACCGAACCTGAGCCTGAACCCTGAACCCTCAAAAGCCTTGAAGCCGGAACCTTGAACCTGCAGCCTTCAACCCCAAACCCCAAACCCTCAAAACCCCAGCGCTTTCGAAGCTTGAGCCGCTTCAGCATCTCCTTCCAGTCTTCGAGGTCGGCCTCCTCCGCTGGGAACCTGCCGGCGACCCCATCGGCTATCAGCCGCTCCAGCACGGGCGCTCCCTGAGCGAGCTCGCCTTGCAGGCGGCTCACGTGCTCAAAGGAGGCCCCTCGCATCGGCTCAGCAGAGGCCTCGGCTGCTCGCGGCGCTCCAGGATATGGGATGCCATTCTGATATCCCGAAAGCATCGCGAAGGGTTCTTCCGTGCGGAGCCCTTGGACAAGTTACATAGAGCCAAGTTACATAGAGCCAAGTTACATAGAGCCAAGTTACATAGAGCCAAGTTACATAGAGCCAAGTTACATAGAGCCAAGTTACATAGAGCCAAGTTACATAGAGCCAAGTTACATAGAGCCAAGTTACATAGAGCCAAGTTACATAGAGCCAAGTTACATAGAGCCAAGTTACATAGAGCCAAGTTACATAGAGCCAAGTTACATTACATAGAGCCAAGTTACATAGAGCCAAGTTACATAGAGCCAAGTTACATAGAGCCAAGTTACATAGAGCCAAGTTACATAGAGCCAAGTTACATAGAGCCAAGTTACATAGCCAAGTTACATAGAGCCAAGTTACATAGAGCCAAGTTACATAGAGCCAAGTTACATAGAGCCAAGTACATAGAGCCAAGTTTTACATAGAGCCAAGTTACATAGAGCCAAGTTACCAAGTTACATAGAGCCAAGTTACATAGAGCCAAGTTACATAGAGCCAAGTTACATAGAGCCAAGTTACATAGAGCCAAGTTACATAGAGCCAAGTTACATAGAGCCAAGTTACATAGAGCCAAGTTACATAGAGCCAAGTTACATAGAGCCAAGTTACATAGCCAAGTTACATAGAGCCAAGTTACATAGAGCCAAGTTACATAGAGCCAAGTTACATAGAGCCAAGGTTAGGTAGAGCTTAGAGCTTCGGCGTTAGCAGCTATGTAAGTTAGTTTAGGTTTCTAAGGCGCCGGGGCGGGAGTTGGATCGTCGCTCGGGATTGCGACCCTCTGCGGAGATTCGCGTGGTCGAGGTCAAAAAACTGAAGACTTTTTACGATTTTTAGCATGCCCGCGCGACCCTCTGCGGAGATTCGCGTGCTCGAGGTTCAAAAACTGCGGACTTTTTTCGATTTGCAGCATGCGCGCGCGACCCTCTGCGGAGATTCGCGTGGTCGAGGTTC